AGGGATTGTACCCCGGCCTCCTGCATTGGGAGCTTGGAGTCTTAGCCACTAGACCACTGGCAAAGTCCCTGTTTTTTGTTTTTTATATTGAGCTGCATGAATTGTTTGTATGTTTTGGAGATGAAGCCTTTATCTGTTGCTTCGTTTGCAGTTATTTTCTCCCATTCTGAGAGTTGTCTCTTCATCTTGTTTATGGTTTCCTTTGCTGTGCAAAAGCTTTCGAGTTTAATTAGGTCCCATTTGTTTATTTTTTTCCCTTCTCCAGGGGAATCTTCCCAACCCAGGGATTGAATTTGGGTCTCCTGCATTGCAGGCAGATTCTTTACTGTCTAAACCGCCAACTTCCGAAGCCATGCTAAATAATAATAGAGTGAACATCCTTGTCTCATTACTGATCTTAGAGGAAATGCTTTCAGTTTTTCACCATTAAGAATGATGTTTGCTGTGAGACTATTGTATATGGCCATTATTATATTGAGGTAGAGCCCCTCTATGCCCACTTTCTGGAGAGTTTTTATCATACATGACTGTTAAATTTTGTCAAAAACCTTTTATGCATCTATTGAGATGATCATATGGTTTTTATTTAACTTAATACAGTGTATCACATTGATTTGAGTATATTGAAGAATCCTTACACCCCTGGGATAAATCCCACTTGATCACGGTGTATGAGTATTTTAACGTGTTGCTGCATTCTGTTTGCGAGGATTTTATTGAGGATTTTGTGTCTTTGTTCATCAGTGGTATTGTTCTGTAATTTTTTTTGGTAATTTATTTGTCTGGTTTTGGTATCAGGGTGATGGTGGCCTTGTAGAATGAGTTTGGGAGTGCTCCTTCCTCTGCAATTTTTGGCAAGAGTTTGAGAAAGACAGGTATTATCTCTTTTCTAAATGTTTGACAGAATTTGCCTGTGAAGCCGTCTGGTCCTGGCCTTTTGTTTGTTGAAAGATATTTAATTACAATTTCAATTTCCTTACTTGTGATTGGTCTGTTTATATTTTCTAATTCTTCTCAGTCCAGTCTTGAAAAGTTGTACCTTTCCAAGAATTTGTCCATTTCTCCCAGGTCGTCTATTTTATTATCATATAGTTGCTTATAATAGTCTCTTATGATGCTTTGTATTTCTGCAGTATTAGTTGTTCATTTCTCCTTTTTCATTTCTGAATTTGTTGATTTGAATCCTCTCCCTTTTTTTCTTAATGATTCTGGCTAAAGACTTACCAATTTTATCTTCTCAAAGAACCAACTTTTAGTTTTATTGATTTTTGCTATTGTTTTCTTCATTTCTATTTCATTTATTTCTGCTCTCATCTTTATGATTCATTCCTTCTACTAAACTTTGGTGTTTTTGTTGTTGTTATTGATGTTCTTTCTCTAGTTGCTTTAAGTGTGAGATCAGTTTGAGATTTTTCTTGTTTCTTGAGGTGAGACTGAATTTTAGATATAGATTTAATGTGTTTAGTTTGAGTGATTCTATTTCTTTATTATGTAATTGTTTTAGTGATAAGGACGTAAGGGTATTAAAAGGAGGTAAGAAAAAAAAAGGTAGATCATGGAATGCTTTTGAAAATGGAAGGGGAGGAAACGCTGCACATTGCTTAGTAGAGCAGTGTGGGGAGCAGGAAGGAACCCCAGTAGACAATGTGTGGAATGAGGCCTTCTGGGAGGGCAGTCTGTTGGCTGGGAGGAATCCCCGTTAGGACAGTGTGTGGCCAGGAAGTAGCCCGAGCAGAGCACTGTGTGGAGCGGGCAGTGTCCCAGGGGAGCAGTGTGTGGATGAGACGGTATCCCACTGTATCACTGTGTGGTAGGAAGTATGCTGGGTGGAGGAGTTTATGGGCTCGGTGGGATTTGGGGGTAGCTCAGTATGCAGAGTGGGAAGTCAGCCTTGAAGAGTTGCGTGTTCAGAAGGGTGGCATCTCTGAGCAGAGGGGAGTCTTGGTAGGAAATGTCCCCGTGGAGCAGTGTGGAGCAGGAAATTCTCCCTGGTACAGCAGTGTGTGGAGCAGGATGTATTCTGGGCGTGGCGGTGTGTGGTGTGGGAAGAGTAGGACGTATATTCAGTGGAAGTGTCTGGGGTGGGGAGTATCCTGGGTGAGTGCAGTAGGGAAGCCTCCCTTGTATAGCACTGTTTAGGAGGAGATCTCCAGGTAAAGAGGCCTGAGGAACAGTGAAGGAACGACCCTGGCTGGAGCACCGTGGTGGTAAGAAGTATGTCACCTAGAGCTGTGTGTGGAGTAGGTAACCACGGAGATCACTGGGGCAGGAAGGTCCCAGCACAGAGCAGAGCGTGGAGCAGGAGACACCGCTTGCAGGGCGGTGTGTGGAGCAGGACGTTTCTGGCAGCGTGTGGCATAAGGAGGGAGGGTGTCTCCTGGGGCGAGCGCCGCGTGGAGGAGGAAGTCACTGGTGCAGAGTGTGCAGAGAAGGCAATATCCGTCCACAGAGCAGTGTGTGGAGTGGGGAGAACTCTGGGCAGAGTCTTTGTAGAGGAACGAGAGGCTGTATCCAGACCGCAGCAGTGTGATGGGAAGTACTGGCAAAGTAGTGTGTGGAGTAGGGTGTGTCCCGGATGCAGCAGGGTAGAGGTGGCACCGGGTGACCTTGGTAGGTCAGTGTGTGGACGAGGTCCCCAGGGTAGACCGCGTGTGGATGCAGAGTTCCTGAAGGAGAGCTGGGTGTGGCCTTGGCTGCACTCCCTTCCGCAGTGTGTGAGCTGCGAAGCGGCCCGGCACATCATCGTCTGGACTAGGAGGCGTTCTGGGTACAGCAGATTGTAAGTGTCCCGGGGAGAAGAGCGTGTGGGGTCGGAAGTAACCCTGGTAGAACAGGCTGTGTAGGAGCAGGTGTCCTGGGCCCAGCAGAGGGTGGACTCGGAGCTGTGTGCTCACTGGGGCAGCCTCCCAAGTGGAGTGTGTCTGATCAGGAAGCGTCGGCTGCTCAGCCGTGTGTGGAGTAGGGAGCGTCCCGGCAGGTCAGCAGTGTGGGGAGGAGGAGGTTTCCAGTAGACCAGCGTGTGACGTGGGAAGTATTCTGGATAGGAGTTCTGGAGGAGGAGGTGTCCCTGCAGAGAGCTGTGTGTGGTCGGAAGTCTCCCCGGCATCACGCGCAGGGGTGGGAAGAGTTCTAGTAGAAACGCGTGTGGAGTGTCTGGTAGTGTGCCCAGCAGGAAGTATTAATAGTCCCCAGGGTCGGTGTGTGGAGTAGAAGCCTCCTGGTGGGACGGGGTACGAGGTGCCACGTGCCCTTTGCAGAGCAGTGTGTGGGGTGGGCGGGGCCCCTTCGAACATGGTGTGGAGTAGTAGGTCGTGTCTCAGCAGAGCATTGTGTGAAATAGGGGATCCCCCAGTAAGCAGCTGCATGGTAGGGATGTCCCCTGATAGAGGAGAGCTTGGTAGGGAGCGTCCGCAGTACAACACGGTGTGGAATACGCAGGCTCCGCCTCAGAGCAGGATGAGGATAGCATGGAAGCCTCGGGAGGCTGGGGAGGATGCATTAGAGAGGCTGCTTCTGACTCCTAATCTTTGGTGTGAGTAAAAATCACCTTGTCACATCTCCCAGGATTCTGACTCTGTAAGTCTGGGTTAGGTACCAGGAATCTGCATTTTATCACCCAGGCCAGGGATTGATGCAGAAGGTTAAGGAAAACGGATTGGGGCCTATTGGAACAAGGGTGATGCCTCTCTGGGGTCTTGGCTGGTTTCAATGCTGGATGCAGTCCAGGCGGAGCAGGCTGAGAGTGACTGGTGAAGCGCCCTGGAGTTGAATTCTCCCTCTCCTCATCCTCTCTCCCTAGGTGGACTTTTGTCATGAGGAGACATGAGGTTAGAACCACCAGCCGTGAGGGAGAGACTCCAAGGAGTGAGGGGAACACCGCCCTCTTGGCAGGGAGATGATGGGTAGGAGTTTACCCCTAGGGTCTGTCCTCCTTCCTTCAAAGACCTCAATTGAAAGGGGCCTCTTGCTACATTATTAGTATTTGTATAGTCGTCACCTTCTGTCCCCTCTCAAGCTGTTTATCAGGTAAAAGCAGACTCATGAGCATATGGATTCTGATAGAAGATGTTAGACTCACTGCTGCTGCCCAGTAGAGAAGCCACTGGCCACACACGTTATATAAATTTAAATTAGTTGAAGTTAATTAAAATTTGACTTCCTCAGTTGCACTCGCTGAAGTTCAAGGGCTCAAAAGCACATGTGGCCAGTGGCTGCCCCCAGACAGCTGGGCTAGGGAGTTCTCTCACTGCAGAGGCTCTGACGCACAGCGCTGTTCCTGGGAGGAGAGGGGTTCAGTGAGAGGCTGTCTTGTGGGTGGGGAAGTCTGGTCTTGGGTCGGGAGAAGAGGGTCCCCATTACAGGATCACAACAAGCGCATGTGTCATGCAGGTCAGAATCTGAGTCTGCCCTTCCCTTCCTCCCCCAAAACGTCTGCCGCTTCCAGGCAGTAGGGTAATCGAGTGTCCCCCACACTGTGTTCAGTTCTCTTGCTTGACTTCACTCCTTCTCTGTTTCAGAGAATATTTGCAAAAAACATTTTCTGCAAAATAAAGCAATTTCATATTTCATTTGAGCTTCACGATCACAGAGCTATGTTTGTTACTTTTGGCATAGTGTGCAGCAGATGAATTTGAGTAGAGTTTTTCCATTTCTGTTTATGATCTTTTTTTATTTTGCATGTAAGAGTTGGAGGTGAGAAAAGACTGAGCTGTGTGTTTACGGTTCGTTTATTTATTTTGGCTGCGCTGGGTCTTCCTTGAAGTGCTTGGGCTTTCTGTAGCAGTATGCAGGCTTCTCTAGTTGTGGCACGTACAGTTCATTTATTATTAACAGCACTTTCCCTACCTTCTCCCATACCCCTTCTCACATCCTTTGACTTTTAAACCGACGGAGACAGAAGGAGCTTAGCGGATAGGAATCAAGGCAGCTGGGAGTTCCTAATGTGTTTTATGACCATAAATCAAAAAGTATATTAACAAGACCCTACTTTCTTTTAATAGGTGAAGAACAAAACATGACTGAAATAGATGCCTTCCCTAGGAGGTAATAATGTTCTGTTTACTCACAGAGGTCTTTTCCTTTAGTGGTCATCATCAGCCTACAGAAATCAAAGAAAGGGACATGGGCGCTGAAAAGCAGAGTGGAGAATGCCAGGTTTTAGCATCTGGAGGGTTGGCTTGTAGGTGTGCGGGTTGGTTGTTGCCCCTGGTTCTGAAGGGACCTAGACTGAGGCTCAAGATATGGAACAGTTGGGACGGCCTTGGCCTGGGCCAGACCACTGTCTTTGGCCCCCGGTTCCTGGAGCCCTGGGGGAAAGACACCCAAGCAAAGAAACTGGGGGTGGGGGGGTGGGAGCGGTTTGCTCAGGATGGCTGCCGTTTACCGGTTGGTACAGAGATGTTTCAGGGCTTTCCTGACCAGTGTGGCTGGGAGGCCTGCCCAGGGCACGGCGGTGGCCTGTCGGCCTGGTCCAGGAGGAAGCAGCAGACCTCTGTCTATTCTGCGTGTTGACCTTGGGCTTGGAGGAGCTTACTATTTAATGTGATTTTTTAAACTTTTTCTAAACAGAGAAATGTTTGATCCGGCTGAAAAGTACAAAATGGACCACAAGAGGAGAGGAATTGCATTAATCTTCAATCATGAGAGGTTCTTCTGGCACTTAACCCTGCCAGAGAGGCGGGGCACCAGTGCCGACAGAGAAAATCTTAGACGCAGGTAGTATTGTTTTATTTAACATCCAGATGGTCAGATGTTTAAGTGATAACTACTTGTCCACACTGTAGAAATAACAGAGCAAGAGTATTTGAGGATGAACCTCACTTGGGCCCAGCCTCCCTTAAGAACTTGCCTGAATTTTCCCCTTAATCCTGTTCTATTAAATGTCAGCAGTCTTTGCATTCTTATAAATATATCTGCATAGTAGATGGCAGTATTCTAACTTAAATCAGTTATCATGAGTAAATCCTTTCCTGCCATGGGTAATCGAGGAAAACCATCATTGTCGTATTTGATTTTTCTTTCCCCCTAAAGAAAAGTCAATTTATATGTCATAGAAATGTGTATAGATTCCTCAAATAATTCGGAGTATATGACAGTTTTGAATAGCTCATAAGCTAGTATCCAATTTAATCTCCAGGTTTTCAGATCTAGGATTTGAAGTAAAATGTTTTGATGATCTTAGAGCAGAAGAACTATTGCTCAAAATTCACGAGGGTAAGTAGTTTTCCTACTCATCTTCCTTTGATGGGACTGAGTAGTTTTTAATTATCCTTGTATGAAGACAGGTCCAAATAATTAACTGTTGTAAAAAAGGCTTATCAATTAATTTAGCATGGGTTATAGGTTTTGCTTATGCCTCTCTGATTATACATTACTCAGCAGATTTAGAGACCTTTGCAAAGTATTATGCCTACCAAGTTTATATACCACCACAGTCTGTTACTCTGAAAATGAATGTAATGATCTTTTCATTTGGCAATTAAAAGCCTAAGATGCAAATACTACAGACGCTGGGCAGTCATTTTTTAACTGACTCCTTCCATACCCAAGTTTTTTACTGACTTCAAAATACTGTGGATTTACACACATTATCTCTTAATTTCTACATCACTATGCAGTAGGTTGGAGAAGGAAATGGCAACCCACTCCAGTATTCTTGCCTAGAGAATCCCACAGACAGAGGAGCCTGGTGGGCTGCTATCCGTAGAGTCGCAGAGTTGGACACGGCTGAAGCGACTTAGCATGCATGCATGCATTGGAGAAGGAAACGACAACCCACTCCAGTGTTCTTGCTTGGAGAATCCCAGGGACGGGGAGCCTGGTGGGCTGCTGTCTGTGGGGTCGCACAGATTCAGACATGACTGAAGCGACTTAGCAGCAGCAGCAGCATGCAGTAGGTAAATTAACAACCTAATGTGTATAATAATCACCACATGTCATGGGTTCTTAAGTAATTTGTCAATGGACTATTACAACAATTACATCATTAAACTTTCTTCAGAACTTTTTTTTAAATTGAGGTGTAACTGACATACAGTGGAGCCTGGTGTGCTGCAGGCCATGGCGTTGCATTTGTGTACACTGGGGAATGATTGCCACCAGAAATCTAGTTACCGTCACCATTCACAGTTATCAAATCTTTTCTAGTGACTTTTAAGGTTTATTCTCTTAGCAGCTTTCAAATATGCAGTACAGTACTGCTAACTGTAGTCATCATGCTGCACATTAACATCCTCAGAACTTATTTATTTTGTAACTGAGAGTTTACACCCTTTGACCCCTTCACCATTTTGCCTCACGCTTCTCCTCTCCCTGCCCCAGCTGCCAGCAGTCTGTTCTCTGTACCTCTGAATTTGGTTCTGAATTTGGACGTGATCACGTCCTGCTCTGACTTGGGTCACTTAGCATAATGCCCTCGGGGTTCATCCATGTTGTTGCAAATTGCAAATTTTCCTTTTTTTAGTGACTGAATGCTAATCTATTGTATATGTACAGACCACACTTTCTTTATCCATTCATCCATTAATGGACACTTGGGTTGTTTCCGTATCTTGGCTGTTGTAATAATGCTGCAGAGAATACAAGGGTTCATATATCTTTACAAGCTAGTGTTTTTGTTGTCTTTGGATAAATATCCAGGAGTGGAAATGTCGGCTATGGCAGTAGCTCTGTTTTTAATTTTTTGAGAACCCTTATACCAGGGTTCTTCTTTAATCTGTAAATAATTTGTGCTGCTGTAAATAATAACTGGCAGCTCACCAACTTTCCTACTTTGCTTGCTGCTCAGCTTTGGAGTGCATCAGCCTCGTGTCTTGACACTCTGGGAAGCTCCAAGCGCTGTAGACGGAATAGTGACGGTGCTGCCTTCCTTATCAGCGCAGCGACACTTAGGGAAGTGTTATGGGGCAGTTTCTGCGTCTTTCCAGTCTGCTCTAAGAAGGTCTCTGCTGATTCAAAGAAACTTTCAGGGTTCCCCATAATAATACCTTTAGGTTTTCCATGTCATTCTTCTGTGTTTTAAAAAAGCTAACAAAAACCTGTTCAAACTTTGAACTGTAATAATTTGGGTGTTTAAAAGTCAGATACAGTATTGCTTAATTAAATAAGTGGTTTCATTAGACATTTTATAATAAATTTCCCCTCAATTATGTGAAACTTTATTCTAGTATTAGTAAATTAAAATTTTATATGTAGATAATAAGTACCTTATTTTCATTTCTAAGTAACTTTTGGGGTCCTTTTTAGCGTCAACTGCCAGCCACGTAGATGCTGATTGCTTTTTGTGTGTTTTCCTGAGTCACGGTGAAGGCAACCACATCTATGCGTATGATGCCAAAATTGAAATTCAGACGTTAACAGGCTTGTTCAAAGGAGACAAGTGTCAGAGCTTGGTTGGAAAACCCAAGATATTTATCATTCAGGTAAGACTGATTATGTTATAGTCTTAATTATAAAGGCCATGGTTCTGTACATTTGATTAGAAAGAACTAAAGCTGATTTTGGAAGTTAACTTTCTCCAGTAATCAGAAAAGGCCCTTTTTGAATCCTGGCCAATCAGAGTTGCAGCTTGAGCTGTTTGTGGTAGTTCTTTCTTAACATAAAGATACTCAGTATCTTTATTACTTGCAAATGACTCAAAATAACAAATATTACTTGGAAATGACTCCCTGGCCCAGCCCAATGTCAAGGTAGGGCCTCTGGAGAAAGTGCATGCTGATGGACCAGTGTGGTGAGGGCACCGCCTGTTCAGACCAGGTTTAGTTTTGGGGCTGGAGAACGTGCCAGCTGGTGAGGAGAATGTGGGCATGAAGACTTCTAGTCCCAGCTAGACTTCTAGTCCTTTCACATTTTCCCTTAAGCCAAGATGTGGCTAAGAATAAAAATATTTGGAGGGGCCTGAATAACATCCCCTTTGGTACCTCAGGAAGGATTTCTGGAAAAAAATGGGAATTCCTGATGTTGCCCGGCTGCACGAAGTACACGGCCGCATCTCACACCCTGCCATTCCTTGAGAGAGGGAGTAGGGGGCTACTTAAAAAGAAGTCAAGGATGACTCCCTGGTTTCATGTCTCACAGACACACTGGGGCGTCTGTGAGACATGTTGAAAATAGAGGTCGAAACTTGAGACAGGAGGCCTAGGCTAGAGAAGTTAGTTGGGAGTAACAAGGGGATGGATGGTAACTGAGAGAGGCGGCCTGGTTAGAGAATGGGCAGTAATGAGCGAATAGATGGTACTGGGAGGCATGGGAGTAGGTGAGCTTCTCCGTGTTAAGTACACCCTGAAAAAGGCATGTAGAGAGGGAATTCCCTTGTGGTCCATTGACAGCACACGTGACTGCCAGGGCTCTGGCTTCAGTCCCTGGTTGGAAATCTAAGACCCCACAAGCTGCGTGGTACCACCAAAAACAAGCGTAGAGCAGAACTGAGGGGTACTGGTGAGGAATGGGCAGAGGGAAGATGATGAGGAGGATGGCTCAGAAAAGTAGGAGAAAATCATAAGAATGATAGGTGATTGTTCATGGAAAAGGGGGAGTGGCCAGCACTGTCAGGGACTAAATCAAGGAAAATGTTTTGCCAAGTTATTTTATTTCTCTGTGCATCAGATTCTTCATCACAGGAGCACTGCCTCATAGGGTGATTGGGAGGATAAGATGACCTGGCCTAAGGTGAAAAACGCTTTGAACAGTGCCTGGGAAATGGCACAGCCCCAGCCAGTAAAGGCTTACCACAGGTGATTTGACAAGCGCTGGCATTGAGTTCCACATGCTCTACATTCCATTTAGGGAGACAGTAGAAAAGGTCTGACGATAAGCCTGATAATACAAAATAAGATTAAAATCTCCCTGTAAAAATAGGGTATCAGGAATCTTCTGTTTACTGGTAAATCTGAAATCCATGAGAATGTTTCTTTTAAAGCTGATAATTCTTCAGCCATTTCAGAATTGATGGACACATTTATAATACTGTAGCAGTCTTGTTAGAGCACTGAACTTAAGTTTAGGAGGGCTGCCAGAACAGCGTACAGGCATACCTCCCTTTATTGTGCTTTGCATATTTTTACACTTTTGATTTTTTAAGACAAACCGAACGTTTGCGGCAACCCTGTGTTGATGCCATTTTTCCAACAGCATTTGCTCACCTTGTGTCTCTGTCACATTTGGGTAATTTTATATTTCACACTTTTTAAATATTGTTTGTCATTATCCGTGATTTTGACATTACAAGGACACCAGTCATAGTGGGTTAGGGACCACCAATAGGCCTCATTTTACCCTAATTACCTCTTTAAAGACCATGTTACCATATACAGTTACATCTGAAATATTGGAGGTTATTTGTTTTATATTGAAGCCCCCAATATATAAATGGGGCTGGGACCTATTGGCTGAAAGAAGACCAAATTCCCAGGGAGAAGGACCCTGCCAAAAAATAATTAAATGGAGTGTTAAGGGCCAAAAAGCCCTTAACAGTCATTGAATGTTATTTAGCCTCTGTATGAGTCAGAATTAGTAAGAATCTGAGCCCTCACTTTAAAGAGGGAGCAGAAGCAGGAGGCACACCGGTAATGGCTCTCAGGTCAGGTGGTGTCATTTTGACCCTTGCAGCTTGGCAAGGAAAACCCAATCTGGGAATATATTACCTGATTAAATAGATACACTTAGGGACGTACTATAGCTTTCTAAAAGAAGGGGTGGCTCTTGGTGCTGTGGTGTGCGTAATGCATGAGAAACTTTGTAAACCACAGATATTTTCCCCTCTACAGTATACCTTTCAATCAACATAATTTGGTGTCTAGTTGAGGATGCCAGTTTTTTAAAACATCAGCTATGAGAAAGCCTAAGTAGGAAAAAAAGCACTGTCAGCTTTGGCCTGCTGTAAACCTGAATGCATTGTTTCTGAAACGCCTGTACTGTGAATTCTGTTGATGTTGCTGTAAAGACGTACTGAACATTCACTGTGAACGTGAAACACAGGGAAGAACAGGTAACTCAAGGAGGGGATCTTCCTCCTTGTCCCGTAGGCGTGTCGGGGCAGCCAGCACGACGTGCCCGTCATCCCTCTGGATGCAGTTGATCACGGGACAGACACGCTGGATGCCAACCTAACCCAGGTGGACGCGGCCTCGGTTTACACACTTCCTGCTGGAGCCGACTTCCTCATGTGCTACTCTGTGGCAGAAGGTCTGTGGGTGTTTAATACAAATGTATAATGGGCTTTCTTGGCTAAGTTTCTGTATGTTTCATCTTGCCTTGATTTAGGCTAGGTCTTTCTAATGGGACTTGTGATCTGGTTGTGAAGCTCACAAGCTTAATGGACATCTTGATCAGAGTGATATTTAAAACTATAAAGTACCTTATAGAAAAATCCTTCCTGAAAACTCTTACATGTTAAATAAAGCTCTAAGGCTAATTATATTGAATAGCTTAGCAGCAGAATGTGTCAGTTAGTGATGGTGATACTGCTTTTTTAAGTGTGGCACCTAAACCACTGGACCACCAGGGAAGTCCCTGAAAAATATTTTGATGACAGTTGTTCTCTAATGTAGTAAATAATCTTATGTTTTTCTTTTTTCTAATCACCGGTCTCAAAAATCATTGCCTAGTTTACTACTAGCTTTGGAATTTTTAGGAAGTGGAGAAAATTACATAGCATCAACACCATTTTTATAGAACTGTGTGGAATTAATCTTCTTTTCCACATGAGAATAGTCAGCAGAGAAAACGTTTTAAACTGTACCATGGACACATCTTAGTCTTGCCCAATGATTTCTGAGAACTCGGACTTGAGAAGTGATTTTCTGTCACAGTAGGTAACCTGGAAACTTCAGTGGCTTCTCCTGTCTTTTTTAGGTTACTATTCTCATCGGGAAACTGTGAATGGTTCATGGTATATTCAAGATTTGTGTGAGATGCTGGGAAAATTCGGCTCCTCTTTGGAGTTCACAGAACTCCTCACCCTGGTGAACAGGAAGGTTTCTCAGCGCCGAGTGGACTTCTGCAGAGACCCAAGTGCGATCGGAAAGAAGCAGGTTCCCTGCTTTGCCTCAATGCTAACTAAAAAGCTGCACTTCTCTCCAAAATCTAAATGATAGGTGCTATTTTGTTTTATGTATTCAAAATAGATTTTCTCTTTTCATATAAAGGAGTATCACTTGGTTGAAGCAATTTAAATGGTTCAGCAGTTTTAAATGTTTTAAGCTTTAATAACTTAAAATAGTTCATATTGGACATGGTGAAGGGGTTTTGATATATGGGGAAATGAAATCCTCAGGGAATTCCTATAGATAAAAATCCACAAGCATTTGTAATACTAGACTTTTGTACTAAATTGTAAGTTTACTCAATATCTGACTGATTTAACTTGTATTTTGTGACTTTTTTTTTTAATAAAACTTTATAATGTTTTTAGGGGCTTCTGAAATCTAAGAACTTGTTTTCCTTTAATATTTGAAATTTTTAAATTAAGTTTTTCTAATTTACATTTTTGTATCATTTACTTGGTCAGAAAAATTAATATACGTATCAATTACCACTTTTTTGTGTAAGACTACTTCTTTAAAAAAAGCCTTCAAGAACTATTATACGGCATTTTGAAGAAGAAACATAAGCAGTTGATCCTTAGTCAGTAGGGTTCACAGACTTGCAAAGCTCGATCCTGTCAGTGTCGTGCATGGTAAGTTACTATACACTGTCTGGTGGTCCCACTCACAGACCATCATCATATTTATGGAATAATAAATGTTGCTTTTTTTTTTTTCTTGGCACTGCTGTGTAGCATGTGGGATCTTAGTTCCCAGATGAGGGGTTGAACCCATGCCCCCTGCAGTGGAAGTGCAGAGTCTTAACTACTGGACTGCCTGGGAAGTCCCAGATATTATTTTTAAGATTCAGCTCTTACTAATATGATATGTAAAATTTGAGTAATATGCTTTGTTAATAATCTGCCAGAGGCTGAAGATGGTTAAAAGTCTGGATTTTGATAACAAACTTGGGACCTGCTAGTTCAGCAGTAGTTTGTGCTGTTTCAGGTATAGTTCAAAACATGTGCCAACTATATGCCAAGGTCAGTGGGGCATTTAAACCTTTTCCTGTAGTCATGACAGGGGTTTCACTGTCAGTTGAATAGTTTACCTTTCCTTTAACCCCTGACCCTCAGGTGCTGCTGTCTCCATGACTCCCCTTGCAAGGTGGATGACGATAGAAACTCTCCTCAGCTCATCCAGAGAGCACAGGTCCAGCCCTCTAGGCAAAGATTATATAGCTCTGGTTACCTAAGAGAAGGTAGCTGATGTTATTAAAAGCCTCAACCCCTGCCACCCACCACATGCATACACACACATTTTTTTTTCCCTTCAGTGATCAGTCTGAGGGTTTATTTGAATAAAATCCTCTTGTTCAGATGCAGTGACACTGGTACCAATGTATCTGGGCACCAAAATGCCATCAAATTTGAGCTGTGGAAACAACAGGGACACAGCTGAATTTTGTTTATAATAGTTGTCTCAGGATAACACAACCCTTTCGTAATAAAATTAACATGCAATTTCTTTGGAATCCTTTAGTTTTGGTTTCAGTCTGTTTAACTTGGAACTTGAGTAGAAAGATCATACTTGGTGTGTTAATAAATGATCTCTCTGATCAATAACGTTTTAACATATATGACATCTCCCATTTGAGAAACTACAGTTTAAGTACTAAAAAAGGTCAGAATGTCCCCCCTCTGATCACTGAGCTCTCATCCCCGGTGCTCAAAAATCTGTTTCATCTGTCACAAAAAAGTACAGTGTGACCTACGTGCAGCTCCTTCTCTGAAGAATTAAACTCTACTTTAAATGTAAAGTCTATTTTACTTTGTAAAGTGGGATGACACTAGTCAAAGGGAGCTATCTTTACTAAGAATTCATTCATTTTTCACATGACAAATTTTCTGAAGCTCTAAAGACACAGAAGTATTCTTTGATAACTGTCTTTCACATCCTCTTTCAGAGATAAGTAAAATTTTTCTGTACAGAGCCAGAGATGAACTATGTTGGGCTTTGCAGCCCACGCTGTCCACTGCAATCAAACCGTGATGCTGTATTGTGGGAACAGCCACAGACAGTGCATCAGTGTTCATACTTGTGTTCCAATAAAATTTTATTTACAAAAATGAGCATAGGTATTAGTTTGCCAACCTCTAGTCTACCCCTCTTCCCAGGTTTTCCTTTAGACTGTTTGAGAATTCAGAAGCCATCCTTTCTCTTCCCTGTTCCCAGCCTTCTCCTAGCTCTGTACCTGAAAACCCCACCGACACCTGGCGCTCTCGGGTATGTCATAGGGGCCAGGCATTCTTGCTGGTGCCGGGGATGGAAGCATCAGTGAACTCAGTACAGCAAACGGCACTCCCGAGAGGTAAGACCCACCTTGCCCAACTGGTTTCTCTTAACTTTCATTGTATTGATGGTGGGCTTGTCCCTTCCTGGGAACCGGGTTCCTTAAAGGCAGCACATGTCCTGCCTAAGTGCTTGTCATAAGTGCATGTTCTTAGCGTGTTAGTAAAACACTTAACATACTGCCAATCCAGACTCCCCAGGTGTCAGAGATACTGATACAGACTAGCACCTGGATCACTGGGTGTTGCTCTAATTAAGGTGTTTGAAGTTTGAATCTGATTTGACTGGAAGGTATACCCTTAAAACAGTGTTCTTTTTTTTTTTAAAGCAAATCTCAGTATCAGGGTATCATCAGTACCCTTTCTGTCCCATAGTCAATCACTGAAAAAGTGACATCCTAATCCATTACCAATGGATTAAGCACCATTAGTTGTACATTTATAAAGATTTATGGTCTGCTCTGAGTAGGTACACTAGCTATGTACACTTGGGCAAACTAACCACGCTAAACCTTAGCTTCCTTATTGGGATTAAAAACAGCAACCTCATAGGATGATAGGATTACAAATAATTATATGTAGAGTGCCTAGAACAATACTTGACAACAAATGATAAATAGTAACTAAGTAAATATTAAGATGAAACATTTTAAAAGACATTTTATAATAATTTTAACTCTATCGAATGATAAAAACCTTCCAGCTACTGTGAATTAATAAGAAATTAATGACCAGATGATTTTAAATGAAGCCTAAGAAAGGGAACCCAAGCACAGTGACCGTTCCGCGTCCGCAAGGGAAGGGACACGGGACAGGCTGACAAAGCTGCTTCAATGCTGAACGGTAACAGCAGCAGCTTTGATTCTGATATATGCAGCCCAAATCCTTCCAGCAGTAAACCTCAACAAGCCATGAAAATCCACAAATTGAAAATCTCAAATGAGAACATCAAAGAATAGCTGTGTTTTTGCAAGCATTTTTTTTTTTACTAACAAGATTGAAACAGTCAAATGCAAATGAACTATGGGAATCAAAAAGTTCCAGTTGCAAAATAAACACATCATGGAAAAATTCACTGACATTAAAAATGTAAGATTACTTCTTTTCATCCAGTTCCTCTACTTGCATCCGCAAATAGAGAGAGCGGCGCACATGTCTCAGGGCTTCGGTAGCCTGTCCAAGGGAAGAGGAGGAGGCACTGATCAGAGAGAACCACGAGCATATCAGATCACTGTTCCAAGGAATTTTATAACTTTAACATCTCCTGAGGGCAACACATAGATCTAAACTACAAGTGGCAACTGCCTACAATATTTCAATTTATGTGGATTCTTTTGTAAAAGATGAATTTATAGTATATGGTTTATGCTATAGTTTACAGTATATATAGTATAATTTATAGTATATAAAATATGAGTTTATAGCACTTCCTTATAGTTCTTATTATGTTCATGTTCCCCTCTGCAGTGGTTTTTCTAGCTCATGAAAAACAATAGCAACAACAACAAAAACATTAATCTGACCTATTAGCTTCCCCTTTTTCTCAACTTTATTACCTTAAAAAAAAAAATAAATCTTCAATGCCCAGTGCTAGAAACTAGTTAGGAGAACATTCTTTAGCCTTCTTGGATTAGATCATTTAAATGTAAGTACCCCAAAAAGCATCTTTACATTTTTCCTAAGTAATGATTATATGGAATGTAAATGTATTTTTAAAGCCTCTTTATCTCTAATTTTTGGACTGTGAATTCCTGTTAAATCTTTCCTTTTTTTTAAATTTGAGGGATGGGTAGTTTAAAAGGTACAGGTAACAGAAGATGTGATGATCGCTGGCTATTAAATGATCATGTATTGAACAGTAGAAGACATTTTTACCAAAACTTTCTTATAAAATCACTAAGAAAAATTTAAAAAGCTAATGGGTCTGCTGAGAGGCCAGAGATAACAGCTGCCTAGGAATCAGATTATATGGAAGTGCTCCAGAGCCAAACTTTCAGCTTCATACCCTGGTTTCCCCACTTTCCAACGGGGTATACACCTCTGTTTTTTCATCTGAAAGAAGGAAAAGATGAAAGGAGGAATGCCATATTGATTCTGTTTTTACGGAGAAGAAACCTGGAAAGCATTTAGAGAGTTTAAAATTGTTTTATCAGAATGCTTACGTTCTTAGAAGTCTTTTATGTTCTTAATGGGTTCAGAATTTGCAATTGAGCTTGATATGGAACTACTTTCTTTAAAAACACATCTTCACTTAGATTTCTACTGAAAACTATTATTTTATTATCTCAAAGTCATTTAAGACTTTTCCTATTTACATTTAAAGCTATCCGCATGTAGAATACAGAAGACAAGAAGAAAAACTAGGAAATTAGTATAAGACATGTCAACACGTCAGCTGTCTCACTAAACAAACCAAAAATACAGAGAAGCCCATGTAGGACCAAGATTTAACCCGTGTGGGTGAGCCACCAACTGTGCTTCCCTGACCCTCAATTCTGGCTCCCAGATAAGACCAGCTGTAAGATGTCACATTTGCAGTGAGGTACCTTGGCAAGGTCGTCTTTTAGCTTGTTGTACTGTACCACATCGAAATGCTGCTGCGTTGATCTCTTATGGAAGAAGTGAAGAAACTGCCTGCTCTTTACAACTGAGTAAGTGTAATCCTAAAAAAGCAAAGCAAAACAGAACATGCTCTAAATGAACATGATACCTCAGCAAGCAAGACGCTTGTCTTAGCAACAACAAAGCAGAGGAAGGCACATCAGTAAAACATTTGCCATATTTGTAGCCATCACAGCCAGCATAAGGCAACGCAAGTGAAACATTTAGTCTCACTTGAGATCAGCTGTTCCTTTCAAAAGAAGGCAAGCAGGGAAGAGAAATCACACATGCAGGGATAGAAAAGAGGAAATGGAAAATGGACATTTTTGGCAAAACAAGACAAAGCTAGTTACTGGGTGGTTTGAATTATAAACCAGGCACAGAGTACACAAATTTGATGTGTGTATCTCAAAGGAGGAGTTTAAGTTGCACTATATTTCTCTAGAGGTTATACACACTTTCTGTGTGCTAATATAAATCTCCATCCTCTGGAAAAACAACAAAATTTAACAGCTGATAAGAACCCAGGTAGCAGTAATTCAGTAAGAAAGAAGGGTTTTTTTTTTGCTCATTACTTGATCTGAGTGAGGAATTATTTACAAAAGACATTATAACTTAACCATTTTCTAAACAAACTACTTACCTGTCGAGTGACTATAAAGTATGCAAAAAAGACCATGGAATTTGCAAACGTGATGAAGTATGTGACTGGTTCCATGATATCCCAGGAGTACACCCACCAGGTGAGCCAGGCCATTGCTCCGCCCTGAACGGACAGCATTGCTAATCCAGCCCACAGGAGTCCACTGATCTTGGCTTCTGAGCGAGCTTCGATTCTAGCTTTCATCTGAGCAAAAATCAAATGACTGTTAGTTGTTTACAGTGCACCAACTTAAAAACCCGAAGGAGTGAAAGTAATACATATCTGCATTAAAGAGGTAAGATTTGTGAAAAATCAACTTATGAAACATGTATGTTCATGAGTGATCACTTATTTCCAAATCAATTCATTAGTCAACCATTTTTTAAATAATAATGTTAATACCTGGTCATGGAAAAAATTTAGTACAGAAGGGTATACAATGAAAAACTCAAAGTCATCTTCTAAAACCTAACTAAAATTATGTCTACTTTCTTTGACCCGGCAATTTCACTTCTGTGTATCCTACAGGTAATACTTGCACACACACGATTCATTATAGGTTCATTCTGAAGGGTAAAACACCAAAAGCTATCAATTTTTTGAGTGAAAAGGCTCTCTAGGTACAATATGGAAATCTTTCCTGGATATACTGTCAGTGAAAAAAGGTGAGACTAGTGTACAACAGCATATACTCTTTACTGGAGAAGGGAACAAAATCATATATTTACATTTTACATTTGTTTGTACACAGATAGTCTGGAATGATTCACGGTTCAGGGATATGGTACTGGGAGGACAGTAGGAAGAAAACTTTCCATTAGCCATTTTTTTAGATTTTTGAATCTTAACACAAGTGAAATGTATTACCAACTCTTTAAAAAGGAAAGAAAAAATGAAAATGTGGGTGTGCTTAGTTATCAGTCGTGTCCGACTCTGCGACCCCATGGACTGGAGCCTTCCAGGCTCCTCTGTCCATGGGGGTTCTCCAGGCAAGAATACTGCAGTAGGTTGCCATAGCCTTCCCTCCAGGGTATCTTCCCAACCCACGGATCAAACCCAGGTCCTCCACGTTGCAGGCAGATTCTCTACTGTCTGAACTACCAGGGAAGCCCAAAAATGTGGGTACACAATCCAAAAACAAAGTCCCTCTCTCTGGCATCCCCTAAGTATCCTTAGAGCTAATTACCATCAAAAGTTTCTTTCAACAACAAGGTACTGCTGTATAGAACAGGGAACTATATTCAGTATCCTGTGAAAGTCTCTCAGTCATGTCTGACTCTCTGCAACCCCATGGACTATATAGTCCATGGAATTCTCCAGCCCAGAACACTGCAGTGGGTAGCCTTTCCCTTCTCCAGGGGATCTTCCCAACCCAGGGCTTGAACCCAGGTCTCCGGCACTGCAGGCGGGTTTTTTACCAGCTGAGCCACAAGGGAAGCCCAAGAATACCGGAGTGGGTAGCCTATCCCTTCATAGCTCTATGTCCTGTGACAAACTATAATAGAAAAGAATATAAAAAAGAATGTGTATATATATATACACACACACACATACATATATACTACTGAATCACTTGGCTGTACAACAGAGATTAACATGATACTGTAAATCAATATACTTCAATAAAACATTTTTTCTATCTCCAGAAACTCTTTATTCATACACAAAGATACCCATATACCTACCCATTTTTAAAAATCACAAATAGGAACAGAGATTTAAAAAATGCATTTTTTCCCTTGAAACAGACTCCTGCCCCTCCTCCCTAGAAAAGTTTGTGGGTTTTTTTTCCTTCCGCCACTGATTAACTTCAGATGTTAGGAAGCCACTGCTAATTTTCCAGTTGCAATTCAGTTGAGCAGTTGAGCAGAGTGGGAGTGGAGGGCCTATTGTCTTAAAAAAATAAACAATGGTAGTGCTCCAGCTAGTGCATTGCAGTTAATCTTATACTCAGTTACTGAGGCACTGGCCCATCCACAGAGAGAACGCACAACAGAGTTTAAGATGGCAGCCCGGAGTCAGACTGCCAGAGTTCAAGCTCTCTTCCACATATTAGCTATGTACCTTTGCTGCCTTAGTTTCCTCATGCAAAGGATGAGGCTGATAATACCGAATGCACAGGTTCACTGCGAGGATTAAAGGAGAAAATAAACCTATGTGAAGCATTCAGAAAAACGCTCACATGGAGCAGTTATACCAACATTGGGTATTAAAATCTCATGGGCAGAGGAGCCTGGTGGGCTACAGTCCATTGGGTCGCTAAAGAGTCAGACACGACTTTGTGACTAAATGATGATTATTTACAAACAGACTCGAACGAGATGCTTCCAAACCTGCTCGAGGGGCTGCAGCTGTCCCTTCAGGTGGTCAATTTTCTCCAGCAGATGGTGCTCTCTCTTCTTCTGAAACTCTTCTAAATGCAAGGCGGTGAACAGTCTGTAAACCAACGATTTCATGTTTTCCATCTCAGTAGCCTGCTCGCCGCTCAGTTTTTCTGAGAAAAGATGACACAGAGGAAACGTGAGGCAGTCACCACGTCTTTTCCACAGGGAACCAAATCTGAGTCCCATGGCTGGCTGCCTGGGCGCTCCCCACTTCTTGGGGGGCATCTGATATCGGCCTTTATTCCTGTCTCAGGTGATTCCATTCATTTCTTTCTGAATGATAATGACCAGACAGTAGGTTTAAAATTCACTATGTTTCTTTTTTTCTTTTGTAATATGACCAGAACTGTCTTTTTTAAAAAAAGGAAGAGTAATACAGGAAAAAAGAGTATCCATCTACCAGAACCCAGGTAAATACCTCACCTGAGTTTGTAACACATCAGTTTACAGGTTCACTTTTATACCTGTGTTAACCTAAGATCCTTCTTAACCCTCAACTCTCTATCCAAAATCATTTTAGGGTCCACTGGGAGGGAAGCTGGTGTACAAACATGTAAACAAGAGTACAATTATACATTTGAAAAGCAATTCAAGTACAAGTTATTTTCAATAAGATATAGATCTAAAGGGAATCACAGTTTCTGATTTTTTTAATTATTTAAATTTTTTCTTTTTAGAATTTTTAGAAATATTTTTCTTGGAGGTATCTTTAGAGAAAAGGCTGGTATCAGTGCTGGAGTATAAGATCAGCCTGAATCATCTAGTTACATGAGAAAGAAAGAAAATGTTTAAAATAAAAAGGGGCAAGCAAGTCACAAGGACATGGGAGCCAGTGATGTTCACATTGTACCAGATATGGTTAGCGGGAGGCCCTTCAGCTGGCTCCTGTGTCCTTATGACTTACTCCCATATTTGTTAGCATTTCCTTATTTTTTTTTACCGACATATACATAGTTGACATGATATTCTATCAGTTTCAGATGTACAGCATGGTGATTCTGTATTTTTACATATTATACTCCATTAAACATTATTAGAAAATAATGGCTATGATGTTCTGTGCTGTATTCTTGCTTACTTTATACACAGTAGTTTGTATGTCCTAATCCCCTCCCCTATCTTGCCTCTCGCCTTTTCTTTCTCCCTCACTAGTCACCACTCGTTTGTTTTCCCTATCTGTGAGTCTGCTTCTGTTTCGCTATATATATATATATATATATATATATATATATATATATAATCTGCTTTAGTATTTAGATTTCACATATAAGTGACATCATATAGTATGTGTCTTTGTCTGATTCAACATAATACTCTCTAGGTCCATTCATGTTGCAGCAGATGGCGGAATTTCATTCTTTTTTTTTTTTTTATGGCTGAGCAATATTCATTCTTTTTTATGGCTGAGTAGACATTCCAAAATGTCTACTGAGGTCTGAGTATATACAGCAATATTCCTATATATACACACACATCTGTTGGTGAACACTTGGGATGCTTCCATATCTTGGCTATTGTAATCAGTACTACTATGAACACTGGGGCGCATGTATCTTTTCCAGTTAGTGCTTTCATTTTTTTCCATATACATACCTGGAGTGGAATTGCTGGGGCATATGGGTGAATTTAACTCAGATGACCATTATATCTACTACTATGGGCAGGAATCCCTTAGAAGAAATGGAGTAGCCATCATGGTCAACAAGAGACTCCTAAATGCAGTACTTGAATGCAATCTCAAAAACAACAGAATGATCTATGTTCGTTTCAAAGGCAAACCATTCAATATCACAGTAATCCAAGCCTATGCCCCAACCAGTAATGCTGAAGAAGCTGAAGTTGAACGGTTCTATGAAGACCTACAGGACCTTTTAGAACTAACACCCAAAAAAGATGTCCTTTTTATTATAGGGGACTGGAATGCAAAAGTAGGAAGTCAAGAAACACCTGGAGTGACAGACACATTTGGCCTTGGAGTACAGAATGAATCAGGGCAAAGGCTAATAGAGTTTTGCCAAGAGAATGCACTGGTCATAGCAAACACCCTCTTCCAACAACACAAGAGAAGACTCTACACATGGACATCACCAGATGGTCAACACCGAAATCAGATTGATTATATTCTTTGCAGCCAAAGATGGAGAAGCTCTATACAGTCAGCAAAACAAGACCAGGAGCTGACTGTGGCTCAGATCATGAACTCCTTATTGCCAAATTCAGACTTAAACTGAAGAAAGTAGGGAAAACCACTAGACCATTCAGGTATGACCTAAATCAAATCCCTTATGACTATACAGTGGAAGTGAGAAATAGATTTAAGGGACTAGATCTGATAGACAGAGAGCCTGATGAACTATGGACAGAGGTTCGTGACATTGTACAGGAGACAGGGATCAAGACCAAGGAAAAGAAATGCAAAAAGGCAAAATGGTTGTCTGAGGAGGCCTTACAAATAGCTGTGAAAAGAAGCGAAAAGCAAAGGAGAAAAGGAAAGATATTCCCATTTGAATGCAGAGTTCCAAAGAATAGCCAGGAGAGATAAGAAAGCCTCAGCGATCAATGCAAAGAAATAGAGGAAAACAATAGAATGGGAAAGACTAGAGATCTGTTCAAGAAAATTAGAGATACCAAGGGAATATTTCAGGCAAAGATGGGTTTGATAAAGGACTGAAATGGTATGGACCAGCAGAAGCAGAAGATATTAAGAAGAGGTGGCAAGAATACATAGAAGAACTGTACAAAAAAGATCTTAACAACCCAGATAATCACAATGGTGTGATCACTCACCTAGAGCCAGACATCCTGGAATGTGTAGTCAAGTGGGCCTTAGAAAGCATCACTACGAACAAAGCTAGTGGATGTGATGGAATTCCAGTTGAGCTATTTCAAATCCTGAAAGATGATGCTGTTAAAGTAATGCACTCAATATACCAGCAAATTTGGAAAACTCATCAATGGCCACAGGACTGGAAAAGGTCAGTTTTCATTCCAATCCCTAAGAAAGGCAATGCCAAAGAAGGCTCAAACTACCGCACAATTGAACTCATCTCACACACTAGTAAAGTAATGCTCAAAATTCTCCAAGCCAGGCTTCAGCAATACGTGAACTGTGAACTCCCAGATGTTCAAGCTTGTTTTAGAAAAGGCCGAGGAACCAGAGATCAAATTGCCAATATCCGCTGGATCATCAAAAAAGCAAGAGAGTTCCAGAAAAACATCTATCTATTTCTGCTTTATTGACTACGCCAAAGCCTTCGACTGTGTGGATCACAATAAACTGTGGAAAATTCTGAAAGAGATGGGAATACCAGACCACCTTACCTGCATCTTGAGAAACCTATATGCAGGTCAGGAAGCAACAGTTAGAACTGGACATGGAACAACAGACTGGTTCCAAATAGGAAAAGGAGTACGTCAAGGCTGTATATTGTCACCCTGCTTATTTAACTTATATGCAGAGTACATCATGAGAAACGCTGGGCTGGAAGATGCACAAGCTGGAATCAAGATTGCCAGGAGAAATATCAATAATCTCAGATATGCAGATGACACCACCCTTATGGCAGAGAGTGAAGAGGAACTAAAAGCCTCTTGATGAAAGTGAAAGAGGAGAATGAAAAAGTTGGCTTAAAGCTCAACATTCATAAAACTAAGATCATGGCATCTGATCCCATCACTTCATGGCAGATAGATGGGGAGACAGTGGAAACAGTGTCAGACTTTATTTTTGGGGCTCCAAAATCACTGTGGATGGTGATTGCAGCCATGAAATTAAAAGACGCTTACTCCTTGGAAGGAAAGTTATGACCAACCTAGACAGCATATTAAAAAGCAGAGACATTACTTTGCCAACAAAGGTCCATCTGGTCAAGGCTATGGTTTTTCCAGTGGTCATGTATGGACGTGAGAGTTGGACTGTGAAGAAAGCTGAGCACCGAAAAATTGATGCTTTTGAACTGATGTTGGAGAAGACTCTTGAGAGTCCCTTGGACTGCAAAGAGATCCAACCGGTCCATTCTAAAGGAGATCAGTCCTGGGTGTTCAATGGAAGGACTGATGCTGAAGCTGAAACTCCAGTACTTTGGCCACCTCATGTGAAGAGCTGACTCATTGGAAAAGACCCTGATGCTGGGAGGGACTGGGGGCAGGAGAAGAGGGTGACAGAGGATGAGATAGCTGGATGGCATCACCGACTTGATGGGCACGAGTTTGAGTAAATTCCGGGAGTTGGTGATGGACAGGGAGGCCTGGCGTGCTGTAATTCATGGGGTTGCAAAGAGTCGGACATGACTGAGCGACTGAATTGAACTGAATGCTAGGTGCTAGTCCTATTTTTAGCTTTTTGAGGAACCTCCACACTGTTTTCCAAATGCCTGCCCTGATTTACACTCCTACCAACAGTGCACAATGGTTGGTTCCCTTTTCTCCACATCCTTGCCAACATTTGTTATCTGTAGACTTTTTGATGACAGTCTGTCTTGACAGGTGTAAAGTGATATTGCATTGCTTGATCTGCCTTTCTCTAATAATTAGTGATGTTGAGCATCTTTTCATGTGCCTACTGGCCATCTGTATGTCTTCTTTGGAAAAATGTCTACTGAGGTCTTTCACTCATTTTCCATTTGCATGAAATATCTTTTTCCATCCCTTACTTTCAATCTGTACGTGTCTTCAGCTCTGAAGTGAGTCTCTTGTAGGCCACATACAAAAGATTCTTATCTTTTTTAATCCAATCAGCTGCCCTATGTCTTTCGATTGGAGCAGTCAGTCCATTGACATTTAAAATAATTATTGATAAATATGCACTTATTGCCATTTTGTTTTGTGGTTCTTCACTGTTTTTTATTTTATCTAAGTCACCTCCTCCACCCCTCTCCATTCCCTTGGCATCTGTTGATGATTCTTGCCTGAATTTGGCTGCAATATAATGATTTTTTCAACTACAGCAGCCCTCCCATATTTACCAGTCAGAACCTGGCATTATAATTATAAACATGGGCCCTACCTTACATGTTGATTTACTTGTCTCATCATCTGTTTATTAAGGCATAGACTCACTATTCATCCTACCCTCAGCAGTCCACAATCATAGTTTAAGTGAGAGCAGAATCCTCTGGAGCCAATACAGGCAGGAACACTAAACTACAACTGTTGAAATGCTGGAGGTTCAGTGCTGACTAGTTTGAGAAATAAACACACTCACATTCATGAGTTTTATCTCCAGCAGTCCCATCAGGTTCTCACAGTGGAGGTCATCAGAGATCTGCTTCTAGCAGACACAGGAGAAAATTAACCATTCTCAAGTAGCCCTGAGCATTACTTTCTCTATACCTCGGAAATAACCAGTTGACCCTCAAATAACGTGGGGGTTAGGAGCACCGACTCCCCACGCAGTCAAAACTGCACATATAACTTCATAGCTGGCCCTCAGTACCCACGATTCTGTGGACTCAGCCAACTGTGGACCGCGCAGTACTGCAGTGCTCACTGAAACACATCTGCGTGTGAGTGGACCCGCGCAGTTCTAACCTGTGCTGTTCAAGGGGTCACTGTGCTCTACCAGAGCCTAATCTGGCCTGGAGGAAGGGCAGTTAGCCAACTCCAGGCCCCTCTAACCTTCCTGTCTCATACTGGAAAGAGAAAAAAAAAAAGATAAACTCTTCTGAAGGTCACAGCACCGTGATCCTGGCCCAGTAAAAACCCTGAGATTTAATCTGAAGATTACAGACTGCTTCTCCTCCCCAATACCTTAACATTACATCAACAGGGCTCCAGTTCTGCCCATGACACAGACTCTATTTAAGTAAGAATTTATGGAGAAACTTGAACACAACAGGGGAGAGAAAAACAGGGACACGAGAAGAAACTGAAGCCCCTGACACCTAGAGCTATAGCAAACAGCTGAACTCCTGGTCAGACTCACACAGCACCTCACAAGAGAGACCTACTTGCTTCAGCTTCTATTTTCAGTAATATCATGTCCAGCTTTCAGCAAAAAATCACAAAGCAGGTAAAAGGCAAGGAAAAAACCATCTAAAGAAACAAGGCAAGCATCAGAATCTGATATGGTAGGGATTTTGGAATTATCAGACCAGGAAATTAAGACAGATATGACTAATATGGTAAGGCAACATGCAAGAACAGGTTTAGCAATGACTTTTTAGATCCAACACCCAAAGCAGAGTCCACCTAAGAGAAAACTGATAAACTCAGCTTCATTAAACAAAACCTCTCCTCAAAAGACAATGACAAGCACATGAGAAACAGTGGGAGAAACACCTGCACAACAGAGATCTGATAGCGGACTGTTACCCAAGATACACAAAGAAACCTTAAAACTCAACAGCATGCTTAAAAAGCGGGTCAAAGGCTTGAACAGACACCACACCAAACAAGGTATATAGACAGCAAGTAAACATGTGAAATATGTTATCAGGAAAGTGCAGACAAACAATGGACTGCTGCTACTTCACACCTTTAAGAAAGGCCAAAATCCAAGACACTGGCAACACTAAACTCTGGCAAAGATGTGGAGCAGCAGTCGCTCTGATTCACTGCTGATGGGAATACACAATGGTGCAGCTCGTGTGGAAGAAAGTCTACCAGTTCCTTACACAACGAAATACCTGCCTTATGTGGGCAGTCATGCTCCTTGGCATTTAATCAAACAAACCGAAAAAGTATGTGCACATACAAACCTGCATACACATTTATAGCCATTTTATTTGTAATGATCAAGACTTGGAAACCTCCAAGATATCCCTCAGTAGGTGAACAGATACATAACCTATGATACACCTAGGCAATGGAATAATAGCGCTCAGAAGAAATGGACTGTAAAGCCATGAAAAGACAAGAAAACTTAAATGTATACTACTCAGTGAAAGAAGCCAGTCTGAAAAAAAGCTACCTGTTGTACCATTTCAACTATACAACATTCTGGAAAGGCAAAACTATGGAGACAGTAAAAAGATCGGAAAACAACAATAAAACAAATAGCAAGTACTGTATAGCACAGGGAACTACACTCAATATCCTGTAATAATCTATCATGGAAAAGAATCTCATTCATACACACACACACATAACTGAGTCATTTTGTGGAACTCTGAAACACTGTAAATCAACTACAGTTCAGTAATAAAATAAAGCCTTAAAACCCCAAGAAAATATACAACAGCAACAGCAAACCATAATGAAAAGTGTGGACTTGGAGTGATAATGATGTTTCAATGTAGGTTCATGACTAAAAACAAATGTTCCATTCTGGTTTTTACAGTAGGGGAGTCTGGGGGGCGGTGGGTACATTAGTATACAGGGCTTCTGTACCATCTCCTCAATCTTGCTATGAACTTGAAACTGCCCTTTAAAAAATAAAGTAAAGCCTACTTTAAAAAAAAGTCTTAAAAACTGTGCAAGAGTATACACTTGAATTCATGATTTTCAGGTCCACTTCTTCTTAACTCAATAATGTCAAATTAAGCATTCAAGATCCTAGAAAGAAGTCTTAAAAGTGTAAAAAGAGTATGTGAGACTACATTAAGACCTGACACCCAACTTCAACCGATCATTTCTACCCTTGCTAGAAAAGCTTAAATATTGGTTCTCCAAAGCCTTCTTGGTCATTAAGTTAATTAAAAAGATTCTCAGGATAAGCCTGCTCCCTGAAAAGGGCCCACAGCAACAGGGAAATGTTAAGATAGTTCATAGCTGTGCTTCTTACCTTTCTTAGGGCACTGGACATCATATGTTATTTTATCAATAACAAGTTTAAAATCATTCATTAGCAAAATTTCCATCAAGGTTGAAGCTGCAATTTCAGTGCCATCTGAAAATGCAAAAATATGTCCTTGTTTTAGAATAATAACCATTTTTCAACATATGGAAAAATACTAATCCAGGTCTTTGTAATACAGTAGTGTACATTTTCCTTTTTGGGTGGGCAGAAGCTCCCCAATACCCAACACTGTTCCCACTGGGAGTAAGCCTCCCAATAGTGCCCGTTACACTGGACCAAGACGAACAAGCAGACACCCCATCGCCCACCCTCTGTCAGCAGGGCTGGGGTTCAGACTGATGTTCCTGGTGAGACTGTTCCTACAGACAGTCACGTACAGATTCCGAGGTGGGAGGCAGGAACTCATCACAGCAAGGCTGGTGGAGGTGGAGGCTGGGGGACGGGATGGCAGCAGCAAAGCCCGTCAACCATTCCCAGGCTAGCTTCTTCACCCACGGCCTTCTGCGGCTCCTGCCCTCTTCTGAGCTTGGTTTTCTGTCAGTTCCAGTCAGAAAACCTGCTGACACACTCCTCAGCTCAGCCAGTGTCCATCTCTGTGGCTTATAGCCAAACCCCTGACTTCGTGGTGGAGGAACACAGGTGGTAACATTTTTTAAAAGCCCACCTTTCTCTTATTTTTTTCAAACTTCCTTTGTGGCTCAACTGGTAAAGAATCCACCTGCAAATGTGGGAGACCTGGGTTTGATCCCTGGGTTGGGGAGACCCCTGGGAGAAGGGAAAGGCTACCCACTCCAGTATTTTGGCCTGGAGAATTCCACAGACTATACAGTCCATGGGGTTGCAAAGAGTCAGACACCACTGAGCAACTTTCACTTTCCCTTGTGGCTTAGACAGTAAAGAATCTTCCTGCAGTGAGGGAGACCCAGGTTCAATCCCTGGGTTGGGAAGATCCCCTGGAGAAGGAAATGCAACCCACTCCAGTATTCTTGCCTGGAGAATCCTATGGACAGAGGAGCCTTAGTGGGCTACAGTCCACGGGGTCACAGTCAGATGCGACTAAGTGACTAACACTTTTCCTTTATTTCTAATTACTAAAGGTGAGTGGTTTGTATTGTTTAAACCACCTCAAACCACCACCACACAGGGCTCCCTCCCTTTCTAGCTTAGGAAAGAGGAAAAGAGGCAAAATTGTTTCAGGAGTAAACATGCATTTATGTGGTATGTTTTAAAGAGGTGGAGAGAGGCAGGAGAGATTCTAATAGTGATTTCAAATATCCTAGGAACATTTCAGAAAAAAAAAATCTAGGAAAATTTAAAAGTCAGTGTGCTTGGCACAGCTTCCTATGTAGCCTAGCTGTTGTTATATTTTTGAAGTTTAATGTAACCCAGGGGTTAAGATTCAAACTCACTGAATAATAAGCAAAAAAACATCTTGGGAGGAGTTTCTCTATCATTATTCTTTCAGAATAGTCTACACATAATTACCTGATACAAAGTCCAAGATGTATATTTTCGCCTGGCCTGGCATTTGCTTGGCTGCATTCAACCAGAGAGGTTTCAGCTACACTAATATGCATGGTAACAGTAACACTGCTAGTAAAATCAGGAGGAACCCAGATGCCTGCCTCCTGTCTGGTTCTCAGCAGTTCTTTTGTTCCAGAAGGCAGCAAGTCAAGTCTGCACCTGGGTCTGTTCCTAGAATTTGGCTGTTTGGGTTCCTGTTCATCAGCTGTGGTGAGATCATCTTCCCAGGAATTGCCAAATAACTCAGCCCACGTTATGGGCAAAACTGTGACAAGCTTAGAACACTTTTCAAGCCTAAATTAAATGCTGGCAAATTCCACCCACAGAGACTCTTTAAAAAAAAAAAAAAGATCAGCAACACACCAAATCCGTTTTATCTGATTTGCAAGTGTCATTTAAAAATTTACATTTAAATGACTTCAAACCTGCTCCTTAAAATATTATAATAAAAAGAAATCAGCTGAGTATGATTTCTCAATTGAAGTACTACATTCTCCTTTATACTAATACAGGATCAGCTAGAGACGGATATGAAACACTTTCAAGGAGCTCATGATACAGTGATGAATTTTTCACCTGTTCTTGGGCAAGTACTGATATGAACCCCAAGAACTCAGGCCAAAGAGCTGCTTTACTCTAAGAATTCTGGTGTTTCTCTGGCGCACACTGCAGGCGAGCACTGTGTGTGGTGCCCTTCTGAATTCTGCCTGTTCTAAGGAAGGCAGGCCTTGCCCCATAGGGAAGCCCCAGGGGATTCGCTGTTCTGTGGCTGGCAGGAATATGTCAAGGATGAAGTATTAGGTCATTGTGCCCACAGGGCTAAATCCTCACTTCCTGATCTTGGTTTTACCAGGAAGAAACTCCCCTTCCAGTAGAATCCAAAGTGCTTCCAGCAACCTACATGGAGGCTTTCCCTAGTCTGCCCCACCCCTCCTACCTGGATCCACTCCCTCCCGTTATGGCTGCCAGTGGGGTTAGCTCCCACCTGAGGGGCTCTGTCTGGAAAGCTCTTCTCCCATCCCTGTCCTGTCTCTTCCAGGTCTTCACTCAAATGTGACCTTAGTGAGCACCTCCCCCAAACACACACACTCCCACGTCCCCACCACTCTGCTTTTTCACTGTAACTTATTATCTAATACATAAATTTAAAATTTATATAATTTATAAATTAAGTATTTAATTTATTTTGTTTCTTTCTCCTTGTAAAATGTTAGTTCCATAAGAACAGGAGTTCAATCGCTATTGTTCTTTGCCGTCTCTAGCATCTAGAACAAGGCCTGGCATATGTTAGTGTAAAAAAGGATTCACACACGGGAACCTCAATTAAATAGAGTCTGGAGACCAGAAGGGGGCGCTCTCACACCTGTGAGGGCAGCACAGCCAGGCAGGAAGAGGCGCTCCTCTTCTTTCCCAGCAAGGACCCAGCCAATGAAAAAAGCCAGGGACCCTTTGTCTGCTACTGTCCTCCCCACTTCCTTTCCTTCTACAGAAGCATCCTCCTTTCCTCGTCCTGCAAGTCCTCACACGTGGCTCGTGTGAGCGGCTGCAGACACTGAACTACAGTTTTCCACTATCTGCAATAAACCCACCTTTGCTGGAGAAATATCTGGCAGTCTGTTTGTTTCAGGTCAACATCTGTTAGGTGCTCAAAGTTTGTTCAGTAAATAAGTTCTTTAATCTCTACTCTTCCAACTTTTATATCTATCGCTTAATTGGTTCTGAACTTGGACAGGGAAGAAGAATGTTAATTTCCTTTCCAAAACTGTAATAGTAATCATTAACTTTTAAATAATATTACATTCTAAGAATGTAATACTATGATAAAATAACAGTGCAAATTTATTCATCTGTTTATATTTATAGTAGCCTGGTATACTGGGCTGGGGTAAAGAATTCTTTATTCTCTTTTAGGGGCAGTAGGGCCTGCTTTTATGTCCTAAGATCATACAAATATAAAAGCTATATCCTAGATTTATTTAAAAGTCTATCTGATTAACTACCTCTGCTGGTATCAAACTAGTTTCCCAAGAATTAATTAATCAAAAAACACTTGACCATAACTGCTTTATAACAAAGATCAATGAACTATTTGTGTATTATCCACTGTCTATTTCAATCATGGAGACTGCATTTCATTTTCTAATTATTCACATTTCTTATAGAAAACTAGATGCTAATTACTACATCATTAAAATTTTCTCAGAGAAAAATTTGGGGGCTAAGTTTAATGAAATAAATAACCAAAGCATGAATTAAACTTATTCCATTTCTTTCTTCTCCATTAGAGTTCATTCTTTTAATATTATTCATGTTCAAAAATGAAGGACTCAGTAAAGACCAACCATTTATTATATAATAGTTTTCTAGAAAGTAAAGAAACAAAACAAAGTTTCAAAAGAAGAGAAAAAAAGTTGGAAATATATGTATATATATATACCTGCTGTGAAGACAGCAGCTGTTCTGATACCTTTATCTTCATTTTGTAGGTCCTGAAGGAATGAACCAACTGTTGATAACATTGGCTTGACTACAAACTGACAGCGCTCTTTTCTGGATGGCAAAGTAAGTGTTATCAAGGGAAGGCCATGTTTATAATTAATTGTGATTTCTGTTAAGAAAAAAAAGTTGATAATAGAGGATGGATAAAATTTACTTTTAAAAATAACTTCTAAATTATCATTAAACATTATGAACAACAAAAATTCTAGAAGGAATACCTAAATGTGGAATTCATAACCCTCTGAATTCCTGTAACAATCTGTATCACTCTTATAGTGCCTTCATTATACTAGTTAACATATTCCCCCCACCGTTAACATATTATAAAGTGTGTACCACACTTTGTTATAATTATCTGCTTAGGGTCTTCTCAGGTCAAAATTTACTGAGGGCAGAAATTACTTCCAAATCATCTCTAACTCCTTTGATAACTGGGATGGGAGTTTGCCAAAAGACATCAGAGATCTTATGGGAGCAGAGAAGGGAGAAACTGAACTCTGATGGGGGAAGTGTGGAAGGGGTGATACAAGAAAAGTCTGTTTTGTTCAAAACTCACATTTCTCACTTAATTTAGAAGGATGAAAATAAATTAGCTGGGGAAATCAAAGAAGTGATAAGAAAGCTTACCATCAGATGGCACCAGTGTACTATAAAGATTTGATTGATAGAATTTCAGGCTTCCGCATAGTTTCACACACAAAACCTGTAATGATATAAATGATTATCCATGTATAAGAATAATATAAAGGGTAGGGGAAGGTAGCAACTACCCTCCTATAAAATGTTTTTTAAATGTACGTGGTGAAAGTTAAAGCCCCTCCCCTTACTTCTTCACAGGGCCCTGACTTTCCCCAAAGATAATCACAGCAGAGGTGACAAAGACTCGCTCCTGGACCAAACTTTAGTTGGGATCCTCTAAGCCTGACTAATCCCAACCTGTGCATGTCCTCTAGGAGTCCAGTTAAGCAAGAATGTTGTCAAGTTAGCTTAGCCACCCCCTCCCCCAACACACACACAACCTTCAGTATCTGATCAAATTCCTCGTCCTCCACCATTCCCCAGGTATTATCTGATCACCCCAGTCTGTCTTCAACAAGAATCCTGCCAGGTCAGGTTAGCAAAAAATTACCCTATCCTCTTGGTAATTTCCCATCCACTACCTCCTGCCCCTCCGCAACCCCCATGTGCCCAACTCTGCTCCTTGGATACGAATCCCCACTTTTCCCTGTTGTATTCAGAAGTGAGCCCAATCTCTCTTCCCTACATCAAAACCCCACCATGGCAGTCCCCCTGAATAAAGTCTACCTCGCATTCCTTAACAAGCGTCATGAATAACTTTCTTTCACAGTGGTTTGGTGTATAGCCTCCCAAATATTTTTCCATATACTGCCACCTTCACATGCAAGTTAAATTTTATGCTAGAGTTAAATTTAGTGCTAAAGACAGTTTATGAGTCAGGTTCCTAGATGCCAATGATGATACATTGCTCATAAAGTACCTACTGTTTAATGTGCTAATGGAGTTTCTGTACTACTATTGAAGAAATCATTTTAGAGGCAGTCATTAGACAACCAGGAATTGCTGAAAGCAGGTAAAGTGCCCAGGGAAAACGATCAAAGCTTTCTCAAGCTTCTGTATACCTGATAATCAGCTGGACACCATAATATTGTCCTTTGCTAAATAAACAGGGCTTGTTAAAAGCACAGCTTCCTGGACTCCACTCCCAGAGATTTTTGATCTAGTAAGTCTGAGGCAGGGGTATGAGAATTTGCATTTTTAATAAGCCCCAGGGTTATACTCAAGTTATAGGTGTGAAGACCATACTTCAGAGTGGCTGGGTTCTAACAGACCCTCTGTGGCTCTCGGGTCACTACTTCCAAATGTCAGCACAGAATCATTTTGAAATCCGAATTTTAGTGCTGGACAAGGGCCACTGCCTTCAAATGATATTCAGTATCAGGTCAAAAGAAGACTCAGGCTTCTCTTCCATCGCATCTTTTTCCTAAATACAATTCTAGTCACTTTACTTAAAACCCCACAGACTTCAACAGCTTATATAAAGTACTGATAGAAAGCACAGTGACCCCATAGTTGAAAAGACTGGTATTCTAAACTCGGTTTAGCCACTTGCTGGCAGGAGATCACAGATAAGTCATAGGACTGTGCTGCTGTTCTCTGAAACCTTAGGTGGATACCCATATCTTGTGGGTCTTGTGGCGTCAATATAAGGGTTAAACAACACAAAGTATCAAGCAAGGGTCAGGTGGAGTCTGTGAGCCTCCCCTGGGCAGTGCAGGCCCCGTGCCCCCCACCCCCACCCCACAGCTCCATCACTTATTCTCTTCCAGCAGGAACCTGGGCCCCAGCCAGATGAGCTGTGTGCCACTGACGTACTGAAACGCCTTCTTTATCCACTTCTGCCTAGCAGACCCTGTCATTCCCTCCATGCCCAGCTCTACGTCCTTCTGCAGGGTCATGATGGTTGAGTGTGATGGCTGGAATCCCAGCTTCAAGATACACTAACTGCCATGATCTCTGACAGGCAGAGGAAGTTTCAGGAAGAAACGGGCTGTAAGACAAACAGAAGGGCAAGTTTGCTAGTAGAAAAAAAGAAAAGAGAAAGAGCCAGGGCTTTAGTTAGAAAAGGAAAACTGCACTAACATGAGAAAGCTCTTTTTGAGCTTCAAAGTAAAGGTAGGCAGGTGTTAGTGGGAAGGAAATGTATAATGATCATATGTCGGGCCAATTAACAAGATCAGATTGCTTTGAGAGCTTTAACATATTTTAGATTATGTATCTTTAATCTTTATTATTAAGTAAAACAAGATGTAATTCCCACTCAAGACAGTACAAATTAATACTTAAGCAACACCTCTGCTCCATGTTCAAAAAGAATCCACGTTCCCCTTGTAGCAACACCAAGAGCAAAACAATGTGATAAGCAAGAAAAGCAAGTAGGGGGCCCACTAAGGTTCTCTATTCTGCAGGAAAAGGGTTTCAATGGAAAATGATGCACTGTTTATACCACACTTTCCTTGGGGAGGGAGTATTAATGATTTTATCTCTTTTTTCAATCAATATATTTTTATTGAAGTACAGCTGATTTACAATGTGATAATTTCTGCTGTGCAGCAAAGTGATTCAGTTATATATATAACACATGTACATAGGATATACATTATATATTCTTTTTCATATGCTTTTTCATGGTGGTTTGACACAGGATATTGAATACTATTCTCCATGCTATACAGTAGGACCTTGTTGTCTATCTGTTCTGTACATAGAAGCTTACATCTGCTAACCCCAGCCTCCCACTCCATTCCCCCCCATCCCCCTCCCCCCGATTGGCAACCACCAGTCTGTCCTCTATGTCTGTGAGTCTGTTTCATGTACTAAGTTGCTTCAGTCATGTATGACTCTTTGGGACCCTACGGGCTATAGTCTGCCAGACTCCTCTGCCCCTACAATTTCCCAGGCAAGAATACTGGAATGGGTTGCCATTTCCTCCTCCAGGGGGTCTTCCTGATCCAGGGATTGAACCTACGTCTCTTATATCTCCTGCAATTAGCAGGCGGCTTCTTTACCACTAGTGCGACCTGGGAACTTTGTTTTGTAGATGGGTTCATTTGTGTCATATTTTAGATTCTGCATATGATATCACATGGTATTTGTCTTTCTCCTTCTGGCTTGCTTAGTATGGTAATCTCTAGGTGCACCCATGTTGCTGCAAATGGCATTATTTCGTTCTTTTTGTGGCTGAGAATTTTCCATTATATAGTTATAACATGTCTTCTTTATCCATTCATCCATTAATGGACATTTAGGTTGTTTCTATGTCTTGGCTATTGTGAATACTGCTGCTGTGAACACAGGGCATGTATCTTTTTGAATTATAGTTTTGTCTGGATATATTCCCAGAAGTGGGATTGCTGGATCATATGGTAATTCTATTTTTAGTCTTCTGAGTAACCTCCATACTGTTCTCCATAGTGGATGCACCAACTTACATTCCCACCAACACTGTAGGAGGGACTTTTCTGCATACCCTCTCCAGCATTTACTGTTTGCAGCTTTTTTGATAGATGGCCATTCTGACTGGTAATAGGTGATATCTCATTGTAGTTTTGATTTGCATTTCTCTAATAATTAGCAATGTTGAGCACCTTTTCATACACCTCTTGGCCATCTGTATGTCTTTGGAGAAATGTCTGAGTAGCATTCCATTGCATACTTTATCCACTTGTCTGTAAATGGACATTTATGTTGTTTCCATGCCTTGGCTACTGTGAAGAGTGTACAGCCCACTTTTTCAAGATATTACATTCCAACCCTGTTCGTTGGTTGGAAGCCATCTTGGAACTATCTGTAAACTGTAGGTAATTGGTAGGTATACAAATTTTGTTCAATCTGGTAGTAATCTAATTGAGTTCCCCACCCCATCCCAAACACCAGTTTTATCTCTACCTGCAGTTCATCTTAACATTCTTTCCTCCATATAAATCTGTGATGTTTTGACTTTTCCTATTAAGTGGATAAAACATGTGCCTGGTTCCTTCATATCATGAGAGTAAATTTTTTAATGCATATTCATTCTTATAACTAACTGTATGAGAGTCCTATTTTTATCTTTTCCCCAAAATTATCTTTTAATAGTCCAGAACAGAAGTAACTGAGAGTTTGACTCTTTGGGGGTAGGAAAGACTAAAGTAGCCCCATGACAAGATTGAGTCAAGATTCCCAGTGATCTGATGACCTAATCTGTGATACATCCAATATCACTGCAACCTGGTCAGGGACCTTAAAGTGGCAATTTAAGAACCACTTCTGAGCTCTGGCTACAAAAGCCTAGTTGGAGGCAATATAAAATCACTAGTCAGAAAGGAGTGAGAACAGAATGAACAATAAACTTCTACTTAAGAGTCTGTAACCCAGAATTTTACTATATGAGAAATCAAATGCTAAGAAGGAACCAAATATATTAAGAAGATTAATTCCATTTAGGGAAAGTAAAGAGAGTCATCCGAAACTGACTTTAACACAAATTATAGAGCCTTCAAAGAGATAAACAGGAGAATTAGCCTCCAGAAAACCAATAAGAAATTATGATATTAAACTTGTAGAACTAAAACAAAAATTAGTAAGTTGGATCAACTAAGATTTCTAGAAATGGAAAAAAAAATCTATATACATGTAAAAAAACACAGTTTAATGAACTAGATAAATTCTAGACTAGATAAAGTCAACAGAAAAGAGAATTAGTGAATTAGACAATACTTCACCCAGGTACAAAACAGAACGAAATAGAAATTTTAAAAAGCAACCAGTCTCATACACTGAACATAAAATGGTACAGTTCAGTTCAGTTCAGTTCAGTTGCTCAGTCTTGTCCGACTCTTTGCAACCCCATGGACTACAGCATGCCAGGCCTCCCTGTCCATCACCAACTCCTGGAGTTTACTCAAACTCATGTCCATTGAGTCGGTGATGCCATCCAACCATCTTATCCTCTGTCGTCCGCTTTGGTACAACCATTCTGGAAAACTTTCAGCAGTTTCTTATAAGATTGAACACGCACTTTCATGTGACCCAGGCATTCCCAGTCCTAGCAGTATACCCAAGAGAAATGAAAACTTATGTTCACACAACTGCACAAACGCTCCTTCCTCCCTCTAGAGTTGAATACTCCCTGCTCACTAGTGT